ATATAATAACATTTCATTTGTTTATATAGACACACACAGAGCAGAAAGTTGATGTATTAAAACGAAAATATATACTTAATTCACATAATGATGTTATGAAAAAAGATTGTTTTACAAATGGAAATAAAAATCATATTTCTAATACTGTTCTCTTGTACAATTCATCTATTAACATGTTACCAAAAATATTACCTGCAAATCAGAAGATAATAAGTAAAAATATATCAAAAGACAATTTGTGTTTAAATGAAAATAATAATTCTAAAATTTTAAAAAATATTTCAAATAATGGAACTAATATTGAATTACATAATATACATACATTAAATAAAGAGCGCAACAATTCTTTAAAAATCATGACATCGCAAGAAAAAAAAAAAAAAAAATAAGATGGAAATGAATTTAAAAAAATACAAAATGATACCAATCATATATCATCACACTCGAAGTTTCGTAAAAAATCTTCTGAAATAGTACAAGAATTACCACAATTACGAAAGACTACACCCAGATTAGCAAAAACGAGAAGTGCTCAAAACATGAAATTAATGGCTCAAGTTTTAGGACCAAAAGCTTTATCATCTAATAATAATACTTTAAAATCTAGAGAAAAAAATGAAATGGATACAAATTTAGAAAAAATATCAACTTTACCTAAAATAGTAAGTAAAATTATAACTTTCCAATAAAATAAAATAAATAACATTTGTAATTTATTAAATTTTATTACAGGATAATGAAGATGAAATAGCAGAATTAATGTTAGCTAGTACAACAATTAAGAAAGATTCTATTAGTAGAAAGAAAGCAAAAGAAGCTAGAGAATTAGAAAATATTAAAAGACTTTTAGAATCTGAAAATCCGCTAAATGAAGAAGAAAGAGGTTCAAGTACATATCTTTTTCTCACTATGTAATAATTTAACAATATACATTCAAATTAATTTTAAATTAAAACTCATATTATCTTATATAGAATTTGCAGCATCATATCTTCAAAAATTACATTTAACATTAGAATCTAATAATCCAGCAACATTACGATCTATTATAAAATTATATTTAGATTATTATGAAAGATTAGATAATATTAATCAAATGGAGAATGAATTATCATTTTCTAATCGATCAAGATGTTCTCAAAATGAACAAATTATGGAAAAAACTGTGAAAGATAAAGATACAATAACTATCAATTTGTATCGAGATGTATGTGAAAAATTACGAGAATATCCTGAACTTTGTACGGATTTTTTATTGTTTTTAAAACCACATCAAGCTGCAATGATAGATAAATCAGTGGAATATATAATGCTTCAAAAGATGAACGAATTTGTTAATGTAGCTCAAATATATTTTGCTAAACAACCTTCTCGAATAGCAAAAATGATGCAAGCTATTACACAGCTTTCATCTGATACACAGATAACATTAGAACATATTCATGCGACTATGGGCCCTATACTTAAGGGACATCCTTTAGTTATGGATTTATTTTTACAAATATTACCTACTGCTAAACCACCAGATAGGTAACACAATGTTATTATTAATTGCATATATATAAATTTAATAAATTTATAAATATTTAATTGTACATTTAATTATTCTGTAGTTTATTTGCATCACATATGTTTGAAAATTTAACATGTCCAGTAGGACCACATGATAAAAGTAAAATTTATACTGAAGATGCACCTGAATTATATGAAAATATAGAATTACCAGTGTTATCACTTCAAGAAGATCCTTATGGTGGAGAAAATTGCAAGTGCAATTGTCATAATGGTGATGAAACCACTTGTAAAAATATCTCTGAACATTGTATTTCTTGTGGTACAAGGGTATGCTTTATTTTTTCTTATTTTAATTTTTTAATAATATAAAAATCATTTATATATTTATATATCATTTTTTATATACATTATTTAAAATTATTTAATAAATTTTCATCATAAAAATTTTAATATATATTTAAAAAATGGACAGTTTCTAAATGGAAAAATTTATCTTCAAACATCTGAAGGTCTAAGACCTGCAAAAATTATTTTTCCTGGAGCTGATGAAGAAAAATTGGAAAATATTGCTCGTGTATCTTTAAAAATTACTGATAAATTTACTTCATCTATTTCATCTTCTAAACAACGAAGAAAATCTTCGAAAAATGAATTTCATAGTGATGAACAATCTTGTTTATCAAAAAATTTACCTATTAAAGAAAATGAAGATGGAGAAAAATTAATTTTAAAATCTAAAAAAACTATAAAATCCTCATCAAAATCAACAGATCAGAAAAAAAATTTAAAAAGATCTGGAAATGAAATAAATCACATGAATAGAAATACAAAAAAAATACGCATATCCCAATGTAAAAATAAAAAAAAAACAAAGTTGATAAACAAGAAGCAAAATTAGAATATATAGATTCAAATATTAATCATATAAAATCAAATAAATATTTATCTATTGATTATAAAAATTCTGATAAAAAAACATTAGTAAAAGACACATCAGATATAGAAATTGAAATGTCGAATGATAATATAAGAAAAATTGATTCATCTCGTGAAATAAAAAATGTTATTAATATAAATACAAATGTAAATACTAAATCATGGACACGACAAGAAGATATGATTCTGTTACAAGCTATTAAAAAAGAATATTCTGAAAATTCACTTGCCATGGTTAGTAAAATATTAGGGAATCGCACAATTGAACAAGTGAGTATAATTATATATTGTATAATTTATAATTTTTTAATTATTTTTAATATATAAGATATAAGATATAAATAAAATATCTTTAAAAAAATGTATATTTTTCTATAGGTTAAAGAAAGATGTGAAACTCTTCTTTCTTTATTAGAAAAAATGATGTAATTGTATTAGAAAAAAAGAAATATATATATATATATATATATAGTTGTTTATTGTTGATAAGTTGATAAGGTGGCAATTAGAACAATATAGAGAACAAAGAAAATACTCTTCTCTTTTGCTACAATATTATATGATCTTAAGTTATCAACTCTGCATATAAGTATTTAAATGTACATACTTATTGTAGTTATTATTGATAAATTGAATAAATCGAAAAGAACATGATCTAATTGATTAATTTCGATAGATCTAAATAGATTCATTCATAAAAATATATATATTGACCGGAAATCTTCAGATAAAATCATACAATACTGTATATAATGAGCAATAGAGAAGTATTAGATGGAAAATATTCTCATTCTGTGATCTTGCTAACCAATTCATTTTTACGGTATACATGTATCCAATATTAAATTTTATATTAAATTTTTACTGAGTAAGTATATATATAATGTATAATATGTATAAATTTTTAAATATTTATGAAATATTTAAATATTTTAATTATAATGAAAATATTACAATATTTCTTTTACAGTATAAATTATTTATTTTTATTTCTGTAATAAATTTTTATTAACTATAATTTGTAATATTTGTATAATCTGTAATTATTTTTTATTATTTATTTTTATTAACTATATTTTTTATTACAAAATATCTTATAAACATTGGCAAAATATAAAAATATATTTAAAAAAAATGTTTATTAGAAAATAATAATGCATAATATTATTTATAGTATTATTTAAATTTTAAATTTTATTTAAACATTTTCTTTCATTTCTTTATTTTAATTTTTACAGAAGAAAGAAAAATAATTGACTCTATATGAGATTAATTGCTATTATTACATACAAAAATATATTTCATAGGTTTGTATTTAAATTTAATGTTATGAAATATTGAAATTACATAACAATATAATATTAATGTATAATATCAATACGATAAAAAGAGTAATATTTATAAATTGATTATTTTTTACTAGTATAATATATAAAACAATTGCTATTGCATTTTACAAATTACATATCTATATTTATACAACATATACATATATACAAAATTCATTTACAAAAAGGTTTACATTATAAATTTATTTAATTGTATTTATATTATTTCATAATAATTTACAATTAAAAAAATTGTTGAATTAATTACAAAATTATTTCTCCTTGTATTATATATATGCATACACGCGCGCGCGCGCGCACACATACATACACATGCACACAAAGAATATATCTATATAAAAAAAATAAATATAAAATGTATATTAAATAATATTAATAATCTTTTTTATTTTATTCAAAAAATAATTTTGAAAAATAAATTCTTTTATTGATTTCTCAAAATTTATTTAAATATATAAATTTTTGTTCCCTTTATATTGTATAATTTAATAATAAATATAAAACAAATATGTGAAATTCCATTGTTAATGCATAAAATTGTCAAAAAATAAAATTATTAATATATTTAAAATTATATGGTTGTTTTTTTCATTGATTAAATTTTATTAATTTTTTTATTAAATTTATAAATTTAATATAGATTTAAAATTTTAGACACCCAAATACATAAAAATTTGAAATAATTCAGTCTTATTTTACTGGATTTTTCTAATATACGTGAAAAATTACTTAAATAAATTTAATTTATCCTAATGATAAAATAATTATTTTAAATACGCAATTATTGTATAAAAGAACTTTAACAAAACTACAAAATGTTTTTTTGATTTAACTAAATTTTTCAAATTTATATATTGTATATATTCATCAACTGAAAAAATAAATTGTTACGCATATAATATATGAAGTAAAATTTTATATATATGAGACAATTTGTTTAATATATTATACAAAGTACAAATAGTCTAATATTTATTTTCATAGTGACTTTTATATACATAAACAATTTTCAACGATGAAAATTTCATAAAAATAACAACACAATATATAATATGTAAGTATATATTATGTTATAATTTCTACAAAATTTCATACTTGTTACGTCTCTTACATCTTTTTACATTTATCTTAATAATAAATAGAAACCTGTTAAATGAAACATAAAAAAAGGAGTATACAAATATTTTTTGTTTTTCAAAATTTGAGAAAATAATAAAGTATATTACCATAATATGTACACTTGATAAATTATTTTATCACAATATGGAACGTCGTTGCAATAGATTTTGGATTGATCAATATTTGATCATATCCATGATTTTTATCTGTATATATTATAGGCAAACGTACAAATTATGTAAAATGTATTCACATAATGTATGTGTAAAGATATTTTGTAAAGAACTTCATTTTGTACAAATTATCTGCGCAATACATATTCCAAAGTAATATTTTAAAGTACTTCCATACTGTCTATGTCTATTCCAATATCAAGGAAATCATCTCCATAGTTTTGAACATGCCTTTGTACAAGTGGATGCTCTGAATGATCTGGATCATCTGTAACAGGACTTGGTGGCGGATTAGTCATTGTTCGGTCAGAATCCACTGGCATTCTATCCATGCCTTCTCCACGCCTCAATCTTGCTTCTTCTGCTATTTCTCTTGTAGAAAGTTCTGCTTTTGTTAGTAAAGCAGGAAGATCTTTTTCTGAACCATCTATAAACATTAAACATATTTTTATTATATTTATATTTTAAAAAATTCTTATTCTTCTTTCTACTATGATATAATAAAATAACTTACTTTCTAGACATTTTATTAATTCTTGTGCTTTTTGTCTTCTTGCAGCAGCATCAGCTTTTCTTTGTTCAGCATGTTCTTTTTTATCATAATAAAATATCTCTCTTATTTTTTCTCGTGGGATGTGTTCATCATTTTTCACTAACCATAAATATACACCTCCTGCAGTTCTTCTTCTAGATCCATTCATTATTAACATACCACCTCCTTCTTCAATCTTTTTAGTTTTTTGAAAAAAATCAATAGCTTTTTCTTTACCAATTATATCTACAATTCTTCCTAAAATAGAGATTAAATAATATATATATATATATATATAATATATAATATATATAATATATATATATATATACATATATTAATTTAAAATAGCAAAAAATTTCTTACTTATAAGGAGATCTTTTTTCTCACTAAGTTTTGATGTTATATCAGTAGCAACATCTGCATCAGTTGATTCAACTGTTGTACTTAAATCTGCAATTTTACGTGCAATTCCTTTTTGATTATCTATATCCATTGAATTACGTTTTTTTCCTAATCTCAATTTAATATTACTTCTATCTGAATTTGTTCTTTTATTTGTCAGTCTCTTTTCTCCATCTTTTTCATCTTCTGAGCTGTTATTATTGCGATGCTCCATATTCCATGTACCATTGTAAGAATAATGATGTGGAATGTTATAACTCTCAACATTACGTTCTTGGTTTCGCTTTTTTGTTACACCACATAATATTAAATCTTCTGTTAAAGATTCTTCTTGTAATTGAGTACACCATATTTTATATTTATCATTTTTGTCTGACCAATTTTTTGTCGTACTTCTAGAACGTCTTAGTTTTAATTTAGGTCTTTTACTTTTAATATGTTCAGAATCTGAATCAGAATCACTTTCAGAATCTGCAGAATCATCAGATTCATCACTATAACCCATTTTTATATTTTCTTCTTTATTTGAAACTGCATGAGGTCTTTTTAAAACATTATATGTTTCAATATCGCTTGTCTAAATAAAAGTATATTACAATTAATGAATATAACTTACAAAAAATTATAAAAAATTAATTTGATTTTATAAGATAAAAAAATTTTGCAATATAATTAAAATAACATATAAAAGAATACTTTAATCAAATAATATATTCAATTAAAATAATTCTAAATTAACTACAAAGTTTAACATTAGAATATGATGATCTTTATGATTAAAATAGGTTAGATTCATATTAAATATAAAATTATACAATATTCCTTTACCTCATTATCTATAACTTCACCGTCTTCAAGTTCTAAAGGTTCTGCTTCCATATTTTTTTTCTCAAAAATTACGATTTTTTTCAATAAATAATTATCGAATGAAACTATAATCATATACTACCTTCGAAGAAGATCTTTTTTTCTATGCAATCTTAACGATAGTTTTTTTCACAATTCCGTTATTGCCACCACCATCATTATGTATTCTCTACATTTTGTTTAGTGATTTCTATAGGTCAATTTTCGGTTATTAATATAAATTTTTATATATAATAAAAAGAATTTAAATTTTAATTCAAAAATTTGCATTAATAATATATTATTAATAATATAAACTTATAATAACAATATATATAAACTTATAGTAAACTTATAGTATTTTATCATTTTTTTTATAGTGAATTTTATTATCATTAAATTTTTGACACTGGTATAATTTACATTATAGATGTAGTTTTTGCATCCCATCTTTTGAGTTTTGCGTATAAGTTATAATTTCTATAACTATTAAATTTTTCCAAAAAAAAATTAAATTTATTACAAACAAAAATGATTTCTATATCTTTTTTAAAGTGGTCGAAAAATTATTTTCAACTAATTATTCCATATTATTTAAGTAATAATTTTTATTAAAAATCTTTTATATTTTTTTTAATATATTTGTTGTATTATAATATAAAAATAAAATAAAAATAATTTATTAAATAAAACATTGTTTAATATACGACAAAAATTAAATATTTATTATTTATAATGAATATTTAAAATATATAATAAAATAAATTATTTTAATAATACTAAGTATATATAAATATATATTTACAATTGTTAAAGTTTTTATTTTAAAATATGATATACATGCTTGTAAGATATAAATCTTAATTTTTAATTACATTTTTTAAATTATTTTTATAATTATATTTTTATTATTAGTAACAAAAAGAATCGTTTAGAATTTTATAACAAAAAACAATAAATTTAAATCTATCTAAAAAATATTATTTATTACTTAAATTAAATTAAATTTCTCTGCATATATATTAAATTGAATAATTTAATTGAAAAATTTATTTAAACAGCTAAGTCACCTATATTACATATGAGCACAAATGTGGAAAAAAATAATTATATTGTTTGGTTAGACATGGAAGTATGTTCATTATTAAATATCTTTTGCATAATAAAATACATTTTAGTTTATTATGTATATTTCAGATGAGTGGACTTGATATAAATACATCTCAAATTTTAGAAGTAGCTTGTGTAATTACTGACAAAAATTTAAAAACTGTAAGCAAAGATTTAAATATTATCATACATCACTCAGATAAAATATTAAATAATATGAATGATTGGTGTTTAGCAACTCATCAAAAAGTAATTTCTATGATATAAATGAGAAATAATAGAAATATATAATTTCAATATAATATATAAATCTATATTTATATTTGTAGACAGGATTAATTTATGAATCACGTTTAAGTAAAATTACTATACAGGATGCTGAGCAAATTCTATTGAAATATTTAAAAACATATGTAAAAGAAGCAACATGTCCATTAGCAGGAAGTTCAGTCTATATAGATCGTATGTTTCTACATAAATATATGCCATTAGTTAATAACTATTTACATTATAGAATTATTGATACTTCTACTATTAAAGAATTAATTAAGTATGTATATTTTATATATATTTGTTGATGCATAATATTTTATATATTCAATGGATTATTAATTTCAGGAGATGGAATATAAATATAACTATTTTAAAAAAAGATCATAATCATAGAGCACTATCTGATGTAAAAGAAAGTATAAAGGAATTACAATATTATAAAAATAACTTATTTAATTCTTATATATTACAAGATAATATGAAATTATAAATATAATTTCATAAAAATAATAATTTCATAATACCAGGATAATAAATAATATTTATTAATTATTATATTTAAAATAATTTTTTTTTATTATAAAATTTATTTAATTTATCATATGTGTTATAAAATTTTTGAAAAAATATTAGAAATTATTAGAAATTTAATATTCAATATTTAATAAAGATTATTTATTTATAAGTTATTTTTTTATTTAATACATGATACAAAATAAAGCAAATAAATATTAAATTAATAAAATTAATAAATATTGAAAAACATAAAATAAGAAAAAAATTTTTATTTCTTAAATTAAACTTATTCAGTTTAGAGATTAAAAAAGCATAATTAAAAAAATAATTTATTAAAACCAATTTATATTTACTTTTATAAAAAAATAATTTTTTTAATATATTTTCTAATTGAATTATTTAGCTTAATCAAAATGAAATAATATTATGAATTTAATTATATATATATATATAATTAATTTAAATATTTATAAGTTTGTTATAAGAAATTTTTATTACTTATAAGAAATTAATTAAAAAATTATAAAATATTTATGCAGAAATTAAATATTAATGTAAATACAAGAATAATTTATAAAATTCTGAAAAATAAAATAATAAAACACATACAAATAAAATTCAAATCTCAATAAATTTCATATTTAATAAAATTTAAATCAAAGCGCTAAAACAATATATTATTGTACAAATCTTATTAATTGTAATAATTATATATTTTTAAATAAAAAAATTTTGAAGTAAAAAATTTAATATCATAATTTTATTATTAATATTATGTAAAATTTTATTTCTTTCTGAAAATCTTTTTTCGTGAATTTATATTCGTGACTAGTATAATACGTAATGCGCATGGTTAAATAAATTATAGGTTATAATCAAATATATATTCTGTGACGCAATATTTATGGCTAACTTTGATAAAATATAAATTGTTTTAACATTTATATAATTCTTTTGTGTATTTTATATCGTTATATTGCAAGTATCAAATTTATGAATAATTATATATATTTTGTATATATATATGTATATATATATATAAAAATTATAAAATTATATTGTAAAAATTATAAAATTTTAATATCATTTTATTATTTTTTTAAAATATATGTTTTATACTTTATAAACATAAGTTATAATATCAGTATATTATAATTATAATTATTAATAATTATTTAATATGAATTACATTATTATAATTTATAGTTTTAGTTAATCACAATGGCACCTTCTTCTAAATCTGGTGATGTAAAAATAATGTCAATTGGTGGTCGTGTAACCAGAGAAAGAGAACGTTTGATTGGGATGTTAGAAGAAGAACGTGAATGGAGAGCACGATTCCTTAAAAGTCAGAATCTTGCACCGGAAGAGCCATTAATGACAAAGGAATATTATAAGCAATTGTATAATCCATTTCGAAGACTTTATAAAATACCATTTAACAAATTTGAAGCACTATTAAGTCCTCTTATAGTAAGTAGATAAAATCATTTTCTTATTATATTATATAATATTAGTAAAAAAAAAATATTAATTTTATTTTATTTTTATTGAATATTTTATTTAATTATAGGGTAAAACATCTGCAACTGTTATACGTAATACAACATCCAAATTTATGATAACTATTGTTGGAGTTTATTGTGGATGGTATTATTTAAAATATAATACATGTGTATGTCATAAAAACTTTTTAATACATATATTAATAAGAAATTTATTAATATAGATTTATTGAGATTTTGAACATAATGTTAAAATATTTTTTTTATAGACTTGGATGAAACAATCTGGTTGGAGAATAATAAATACACGTGATGCAGCAATTCCAGGAACAAAAAATTATAAAGGTTTAGAAAAACCAAAAGCATTTGCTACAAATAGTTTTGAAAATTCTTCCATATAAAAATTATTGTAATTATTGTTAAGTAGTATTTCGAATACTTTATTTACAATAAAGTAATAATTCAACAATATTGTGAATATATTTATAATTTTAGTTAAAATATAAAATTATGAAAATCAAATCAAATTATATTTTTCTATATATTTACGTTTTTTTTTCTTAAAGAATTTTTTTCATTATAAAATTATTTTTTTATATATTAAATTAATAAATTTAAAATAGACATAAAGAAAAAACATTTATTTTATATATAACATATAGAAACATCATAAATGATAAAAATTGAAAATTAAATTTACATTTAAAATTAAGTTATATTTGAAATTAAACATTTAATTATATCTGTTATACATATATATTTATCTAAGAAATCCTATTACTTGTCTTTGCCCAAGTTGATTTTTCTTCTTTCAGTGCTTTCATAAGACTTTCATTTAAATTTAATCCTATATTTTCACCCATCTGGAAACATAATTTTGTTATACATGTAATATATTATTATTATTATTATATTATTAATATATTGTAAAATTTTAATTAAATTAATATAGAGCAATATTATTACTTGTAACATTTTTTTGAAAGTGCTAGGTTGAATACTTCCATAACCTAATTTAATTACTGATGAAATTTTACCACTTGGTAATACTGACATGATTATGCTACTTGCACTACATACTTCTTCTTCTAAAGTTGGATCTATAATATAATTATCACCAATCTATAATAAAATTTAAATAATTTAAAATGGAGATAATTATTAAAAAAAGAATTTTTTTCAAATTATTCATAATATAAAATATAAATAAAAAACATACTTTACATAGTGTTACGATAATTGGATAATTACTCGTATCTAATTGAATGCAATCATAAGGATCATCTGATAATTCAATATCTGGTTCTCCACCATCAAGAGTTGCAGCTGTAATTTTTGGTATTTCTGTACTATTTAATGCAGCTTTGACTGTAATTCCTACTGCATCAAAAAGATTACCACCACACTGAAGAATCTATATATAATTTATTTTTAAAATTATTCTTATTTATAAATTACTTAAATGTTAAAAAATGTTAATATTTAAATTTATTTACCAAGACATCAACATATATTTTCCAACATTTTTTATGAGGTAAAATACATAATGTTCTTAAATCAAAAGCATTGCGTGTTTGATAAGCAGCTGTTAAAATATTACTTATTTCAGTTGCTAAATCATCACCACCTTTTCCTTCAAATGCTGGAGTTGCAGTAGCAGAACTAAAATATAGTATTAAAATAATTAATAAAATAAATTTATTATTTTAACTAATATAAAATTATTTAGTTAAGAAAAATATGTGATTATTCAAAATTAAATAATTAAATTTAAAATCTTAATTAAAAAATAATTATTATAAATATTTTTATTTATATTTTATTATAATTTATTATTATTTATTATTATAATTATAATAAAATAATTATTTAAAAATTAACAAGAAATATTACTATTAAATATATTCAAAATATTATTAAATATATTCAAAATATTCAATTGTAAAAGAGATGTTATTTACCAATCAACAAAAAATTCCAATTTTCCTTCATTTGGCTTATCAGCATGAGGTATATCAAGTTCTACTTTGATGCCAACAAGTATATCTGTATTTCCTATACGTAATCTTGCTGATCCATGAGTTTGTGGCATTAATTTAGTTTCAATTTCCATTGATCGATATTCACATTGTCGCCTACCATCATTTCTAAAGTCTGCCTTTATAATTAAAAATTGAAGAATTATATAATTATAAGTAATTATAAAGTAATTTTTGCTATAAGAATAAATTATATAAATTGTACAAATTTATTTTTATATCTATGAACTTACATCTATTCCATGAAGAATAAAAGTTTTTTCACCAGAACTTAAAATAACTTCTGCCATTATAAAATATTTAACTTCTAAGTATTTAAACTAATTTTAATCTTATATTTGCATTTGAGAAACAAGTACAACTGTGCAACTGTAATAAATAGTTTTAACAATGTTATTACAAATATATAATTGAGGTTATCTAACCTACAGTTATACTTAAGTATATATTATATATTATTCTAATTCTAACATTAATGTTATATTATTTTTAATTCTAAAACTTGAAATATTTAAAAATATTTAATTATTAACTAAAATTAATTTATTTATAGAATATAAATCTTAGAATAAATTCTTTTTGTGTGTTTATAAATATGAATTATTACATATTGATTATATTACGGATAAAAACAATATTTTCATTCATTACGTACGTTAATAAATTATGTGTGTATGTATACATATCAAATTTTTTAAATTTTTACACTATATTTTATAAGATATAATTTTTTAAGATTAATATGTTTTTAAGATAATAAATTTCTATATAAACATAAATATATTTAAAAATATTTATTATAGTTTATTAATAATTTTGTTAAAATTTTCAATTTAATTTTCAATTAAAAAAATTTTATATAATCATATTTTTATAAAACAACTATTTAATTTTTATGCAATATATTTTTTATTGCATTTTTTGCTTTTTGAACACCAAGACGAAATTGTCCATATTCTGGACGGATTCTCATGCCACGGTAATAATATACAAGACTCATTTCAAAATCACCAAGATAATATAAAGCTTCTGCTTTACAATATATTGCATTAGCCATATTTGCATTTTTCATTTTATATTGTAATGCATTTTCTGCATCTTGCAATGCTTTTTGTGGTTCTCCTAATAAAAGATGACATTTACTTCGTGCTATTAACGCATTATTATCATTTGGCTCAAGATCCAATGCCTAGTAAAAATAATAATATATATTAATTATAATTATATTATATAATTATATTATATAATTAAATAAATTATGTTTACAATATTAATTTTAATTGTTTTATAGAAATAATCTTACAAATGATTTGTTTTAATATTTTATGTATAGTTATAGTAAATATAATAAGTTAATATAAAATATATGCACATATGTATATTAATTAATACATACATACATATATATATATATATATATATATATATAATAAATTATATATATATAATATTAAAATTTTTTTTAAAAATTATGCACATACAAATGTAGATATAAATGGCTAATGTAAATATATCTGTTTATTAAAAAAAAGTAGAATTTTATATTTTGCTAAAATTTTATATAATAAAAGAAAAAGAATTTCAGTTGAAATTTCTCAATTACAATTAATTTTTGATTAAATTATCTTGATTAGTTTCCTAAAATAGGATTTTATTTGATAGTGATCTTTTTTTATTTTATTAAAATAAAGTTATTTATTAAATTAAATAAACTATTTTAAATAACATATAATGTAACAAATAACTGAATATTTAAAAATAAATTTTAAATACAATTACATGTTGATAAACAATTATATCGAAATTGTAACACAATTGTATCGGAATTGTAAACAACTGTATCGAAAAAATAAAAATATTCTATTAAAAAGAGAAAAGAATCAAGAACCTTATTAATACAATTCATTGCTATTTTAACATCACCAATTCGCATCTCACGCAATCCTAAAGCTAATATAGCTGTCGGCTCAGTATCTTCTGGCAATTGTAAATCGCGATCTTGTTTTTGCTTTATTTTCAATGATTGTTTAATATCTTTAGTTCCCATATTTACTGCAGCGGCACGATCTTTATCAGTATATATTTCTTCTTGACGTCGAGCATCATTATTCTGTCGATATCATTTCTTTTTTTTTTGAATATTCATTTCTGATTCGATTGACAATTTATTAGATTTATTTCCCTTTTGTTGTTTCTTATCTTTTTTCTTCTTTTTTTTGTCATTATTAATATAGTTCTGTTTATTATCGATAGACTCAGTATTGGGATAAAGTTCTAAAGAAGATGAGATTTTACTGAAATTCAAATCCGATTCCTCTGACTGTTTTGAATTTGAAATGTTTTCCGCGAGCGCTCGCACATAACTTTGTAATAAATCATGATGATGCATAATTGGATTTAAGAAACCCATAATTTTCGAATCGATGGCGTTGTGGGTGTTCGTAAATTCTGATATAATTATATCACTCATCGTTTGATTTTATATTTTTATAACTAATTTTGAATTTTTCTTTTATTTTTTATTTCTTTTTTTTAGTTTTTGATAGTATAATGAAGTTAAATTTCTTTTTAAGTTTTTTTTTTTAATTTTTTAGTAAATATATAAAATAAAATATAAAAAAAAAATTAATGCTGAATGAAAAAATATAAAAAGAATTTATATTTTTAATATACTTTGTATATATTTTTTTAATTTATTTATCCTCTTTTTTCAAAAAATTTTTTATTATTAAAAAGTATTTAACTATTATTTATATATATATATATATATTATATATAAATTATTATTTAGAAAATATTTAAAAATATCACTGGTTTGGTCTTTTATATATAAATTGTAATTGACAGAACGAATATACTTGGTGCGTTTTATTCGCGATAAAGTAAAATAAGATACTAGTTTCGTGTATTGGGTGTGGAATAGACGTGTGGTTATCGACACCTTTGCGAAAACGTTTTGTTTCCTTAGAAACAATCAACAATACGAACAATTCGACGAAAATATGATCATATATGTATAAAAGAATTTCAGGAAATCTTAGTATTTGTCAGAAACCATTTAGTTTAACTGTCGACATTCGAAAATTTCTTCGATAAAGATTGATTCTTAATTTATGGTATGAAATCTTAAAGATATTTAAAAAATTTTTATTTATTTTTCGCTTTCTCATACAATACATATAAAAAATATTCATTTGTTTTAATTATATTAAAACATATTTTATTATTTATTTATACAAGAAATTATTATATTATAAAAGATTGTATATATTATGTTATAATTTATAATATTATATTATAAAAGATAAATATAATAGATAGATATCAAAAAATTAATAATCAAAAAATAAAAAAATAAATTCGATCATGACATATTTAGTGTTTTATTTTATTATGCTTAAATATCTTATTATCTTATTATAGAATAAATAGAATATATAGATTATATAGATAAATAGAATAAATTATATATAGATTAATTTTTTAATGATTGTTTCGTTTTAATGTTTTATTAGTAAAAAGAACAAGAGCTGTTTATTTTAATGGAATTATAGTGAAATCTAAAAAATAAATTATTATGAATGTGTTTTGCTGGTATTTGCAATGAAACATACAATACGATTACGTTATTTAATATTATAAGAATAAGAATTTAAGAAAATCAATAATAAACTAATATTAATATATCAATAATACTAATAAATTAATTATAAATAAATAATAATAAATTAATATTTATTTCTTCATTATTATAATATTAATTCATTATTATAATTTATATATATAAAATATAATAGAATATATAGAAATATATAAAATAATAATATATCTATAGTATATTGAAAAAATGATTCAAATAGTATATTGAAAAAATAATTGATAATTTTAAAAATTGATAATTAATATATATATTTCTCAGTTTATTATATTATAATTATAATATTATATTATAATATACAGTATATAAAAGTATTATAATATACAATATTAATAATATACAATTAAAGTATATTTGTTTTAAATATTTTAAATTTGTTTTAAATAATATATAATAATATATAAATATATTATATAATATATAAATTATATAATTCTTATAAATATATATATTTAAAATTCTTATAAAAATAATCAATTTTATAATTAATATGATTAATATTAAATATAATTAATATTAAATTTGATAATTAATATATGTTTTACTCATATTTTTAAATAATTATAAATCGTATAATATTTCAAATATTTATATTACACATTTTTGTTTTATATAATTTAGTATTTTATGTATTGTATTTCTATTTTTATTATTTACTTATTTATTATATTTTATATATTTTTCTTATTATAATTTAATTAATTATTTTTAGTTCTAATTCTTTAATTATTTTTAAATATAATATTTTTATATATATATTTTTTTTATTTATATTTTCAATGTATTTATTGAAAAGAAGTACTTTTATATTTTTTTATAATTGTAAATATGCAGTAAAGATGCTTTAACAATTAAAAAACTTACTTTATTATACAGATACATAGCCTTATTATAATTGCCATTTTTTATATGGACCATCGCTTCGTCTACAAATAATTTTTTTTCTATTGAAATAAAATGTTTTACTTGCGATTTTACTTTGCCATGATTTACCATACTGATTTAAAACCTATAATATATTTGTTGAACATTTATATATGTAATTAATGTATAATTAATCATAAAAATTCAACATCTTTAAAATTATATCTAATATGCATTATTGAATGAAGCACTTAGATAAAAAAAATAATTACTGAATGTTCAAAATATCAAAACATATTTTAATACAAAAATACATTTATAAAAATATTTTAAGAAATTGATATTTGATATATCATTCATTCTTAACTTATCCTTAAATAATAATCTTCATGCTAAAAAACAACTTTTCTAAACAACTGATTTTTATAATTCTACTTACATAAAACAAATTCCATATTTTTTATTTTTTTGATATTCATAAGAAAATTCTTATCAGATGATATAAACCTTAATTTACGTTCCAAACTTTTCCGTCTATACTTTTTATACGTCTCCCTACTCTTACTAATCAGGATTAATCAATATGAAAGTAGCAAAATAAAGTAGCAAAAGTAGAGAATAAAGATGACTATTATTTTATGACGTTTTATCAACAAATGAAACGCGATTATTGTCTTCGTTATTTTTGTATTATACTTTATATTATAAATTACAATAATTTTAATGAAATTATAGTTTATATTTCGATATAATATATAATATTTTTAATATTTTTAATTTTTATAAAACTAAATAATAATTAATATTAATTCTTTAAATTTCTAATTTCATTAAAAGAAGATAAGAATATAATTATTAAACATTAAAATAAATTTTAGACATTAAATAAATATTGCTTGTTTTATAAATTTAAAAATTTTAATTAAAACAAGTTTTTAATTCATTATTAAAAAACTATTCATATACAATAATAATTTTAATATAGTTAAAATTTATAAAGAAATTTTGAATAAAATACTTTTTATTTTTAAAAATTAATTATTTAACAAGAATTTAAATTTTAATGAAAAAATAAATAATTTGAAGTTATATGTTCAATATAAAATATATATATAAGAAAATATATAACAAAATTTTATTAATAGATAAGATTTTAATAACAATTAATTAATCAATAATGAATAAGAACATATTAAATGGCTATAAACATTAAGTTTTACTATAATATTTTTTATACAAGTAATTTATCTACATTTAATTACATATTATCTTTTCATTATAATTATTTTAAGTAACTCTATATAATAAATTATACTATATTATTATGATGGTTTCCATGGTATAATTTTTGGTTTTGTAGTAGTATAAGGCATGTAAGCTTCGTTGGTACCACTTAAATTTGGTTTATGATCTGCCATCCATTTATAATTTGGTCGACTTAAATCTTTAGAAGGAATTAAATCTGTTTTATAATGTAACCATCCAAACCATTCTGCTGGGACTTGAGATCCATCATAATCCAAATAAACTGCTTCAGAATATATTACCCATCGATTCCTACCTATTATAACAATAATAAAAACTTTGATTATAAATAATTTTTCAATAAATTTATATATTAATATTTAATGTCCTTTTTTTAAACTAAATCTTGTTATAAAAAAAAATATATTATAATGATAATTATTTAATTGAAATAAGAAAATATGATATAATAATAATTTAGTATATACAATATTACAATATATATAAATTTTTTAATATATTTTTGTTTGAAGATTCATAGTACAAATGGATAAAAAATATTATTTTTAACAAAACGATTTTTACATAATATAAAGAAATAAATAATAATAATTAAAATCATAAATTAATTAATATAATGAAATATTTAAATAAAAACTCGAATTTCATAAATAAACAAATAATACAAAGACAAGTTAATGCAATATTTTAATAAGTTATTGATATATTCTTCAAATAGAATATATGATAAATGAATCTATATCATCATATAATCTATATCATTTACTCATCAACTTACCATAAAATAATGAATTATTTTCATAATATTTGTTTCCATATTTGTCTTCACCAACTAACATACCTGCTTTTAAGGCATCCGTTCTGAAAATATTTGAAATATAACATGATTATTCATATTAAACTATTTTTATATATTTATATAAGAAATAATTTGTAATACTTAATAAAAATCAATAATTTTATATTTATAAATATCTACAAAATTAGATTTACCAATATAGAATTTTTTAATAAGACAACAATTATAAAAATTGATATAAATACTATTTAAATAAATAATATTACAATAACCTGAACAAAGTATAAACAGAATTTAAAATACCACCATTTGCTTTTATTATATTCCATAGATTATAAATTTTATCCACTCCTAAATACTTCGCCATATTTGTTTCTAAAGATATACATTCACTATATATATATATATTCATGAACATGTGACTTTAACTATAAAAATTTTATAGATGTTTTACTTTAAGTTTAATGAGAACTTTGCATGTTATGTCATTCTCTTTTATATAATAATAATAATGTTTTTTTATTTTAATATATAATTTAAATATATAATCAATCTTATGAAAATATAATATTATATAATGTAAAATTATCAAATTATAAATTAAAATAGTTTATTGTATTTTTATCTAATTTTATATTTCAAAAATATATATATTGTATTTAAAAAAGAGAAAATTATAAATAAATATTTCTTATAAAATTTTAAAGCTTTATTATATATATTTCGTGATATTAAGAAATAGCTTGAAGAAATATATAAATAGTTAGATTTAATTATAAATCTATTTTTAAGATACTAATTTAAATAATTTTTATATATATCAAACATTAATAAATAACATTTTATTTTTATGTTTCTATATTACAATACAAGTACTTTAATACATAATTTATTTAAAAAATTTTAAATAAAATAAATTTTATTTTACTATTTATTATAATATTTAATATTAATATTTATTTAATATTTATTATTTATTATCTATTTTATCTAAAATTAATTTATTTTAATTTATTATAAATATCATTATTTTAAATTTTTAAAGTTATAAAAAATCATAAATCTTTTTAAATTTCTTAGATTGTAATTTCGAATGCATTTGTTTTTTATTTACTATATTTATTTACAAAATTTAAGTTTAACTATATCAATATCAATTTAATAATAATATTATTTAACAATTTAAAAAATTAATATATTTTCTGTAAATATTGATTTTAATTAATTTTCTCTTCAAATGACAAAAATAAGCATAAAAATAAACATTTTACTATGCAAACGTTAACAATAAAAAAAAAAGCAAAATAAATATAATAAGAAAAAAAATAATCATAAGGAAAAAAAGAAATATAAAGATAAAGTGAATAAGATTAAAAGAGAAAATAAAGAAGAGGAAGATAAAAAAGATGATGAAAAAAAAGAAACACAAAAAAAATTTAAAAAACCAGCTGAAGATATAACAGTATTTACCTCCGCCATTGATCCTTATGATACTCCTTTACAATGGTGGGAAACCGAACATATAAGATATGCGTAAGTTATAATTTTTATTGCATATATTAATTTTTTATACATATTATATATTTCAATTTCTTATATTTACATTAAAAATTTATATATAAATCAAGACATACTTTTTGATAATTTTAATAATTATGTAAATAAAAGTTACTTAATAAAAATAAAATATTAAAACAAAAAAATTAAATAATATTATCAAATTATTTGTATAATATTAAATGCAATTATAGATTCTAAACCCTTGTATGTATGTATAATATGTGCTTAATTTGTACATCGTCTCATTTTATAATAATAAAATATTACTATTTTTTTTTAATCTTATTTATTAATACATTTGTTATAGAATAATTATCCACCAGTTAAATTTCGATTAGAGAAAGTGATGGGAAGTCATATCGTACGATTAACTGATCGTAAATATATGATACTTCTTATGGCTAAGCTTTTCGAAGATCATATAAAACAACAAAATATTCGTATCGAGAAGAGAAAGCTGCCACCGCCATCGATGATGTCTCGATTATTAGAAATTTCTTATAAAACACTTTTTGAAAAGCTGCAAGAATCTGGATATGATAAATTAAAACTATATGAATAAAAAACAATTGTAATTATGGTTAATATTTGTGTAATATAATGTGATACAATTAAATATAATATGCTATATAATAAATATTAGAAATATTAATTATGCTGATATATTTTTATTTTTATTTTTTATTACATAAAATTTTATTTAGATCATATTATTATATAATGAAAAAAATAATAAACATATCAATATACATAAAAATATACATATCAATCAAAAATTTCATGATTGCAGAACACAGATTGTTTCCACGAATTATATCAAACTAGAAGAAATTTTAATTTTGGGTTCAGGAACATATTTATATTCATGATTAGACCATCCAAGTGTTGCCAAATGATTGCTAAAAATTAAAGATATTTTTCATTAAAAAATTATTAATAATTACTTAAAATTAATAATGTTCATTTGTTTATTAAATATAATTAAAAATGCGAAAAATTCAAATTTACTTATGTATTTCTTCTAATTCGTATTTTTTAGGTGCTTTTAATCGTGATTCAAATATTGAATATTCTATTGGATAATAATACATATGGTAATGATCTATATGAAGATTTTCCTTTACTTCTTTTCTTTCCTTTAATAATTGCAAAAAATCTTTTAATATATTCCTAGGACTAAAATACAAATTGTCAATAATATATTTTCTTTACTAAATATCTGTAATATAAATAGTTAAGCTAATTCAAAGTAATCTAAAATATTAAATTTAATATAATTCGACATAAATCTAAAAGAAGTAATGAAATAAATGAAATATATTTGATAAATAATAATTAATTTGATATAATATTAAATACATCAATAAATTTCATTGAAAAATAACTTTTCAAGATTAAAATTTAACTTCACTTACAATCCAAAGAGAAATCCTTGAGATATAGTAACCAGCAATGCCGTTAAAATTAAAGTAAGCTAAAAATTATTTAAAAAATTATACAATTTATAAAATTTATTAAAATTTAAATATTTTTATGTTTGTTAAATTTTGAATTAAAAACATATATTTTACACGTTAATAAAATTATCACTACAATTTTAAAAACAAAAATTATGCTTTTTAAAAAATAACTTTTAAATTATGCACGAGATATCTATAAAAAAAAAAATTATCACAATATGAATTTTTTAAAATATATCGATGATTAAAATGTAAAATAATCACATGATTAAAATATTTATGATTTACTTGTGACAATAATTTTATTTTCATGATGAAACGTTAATTTGTAGATTCTAATAGTGGTCTCTGATGTGGATCATAGAACAAACTAATAATTCCAATAAAGCAAGTTGTCCTTATATCTATCCGCTTACCTACTCTCTTTTTCTTCGAATCTCAGGATACTTTTCATTTCTTTTGTTCATAGATATTCTTACTAGATTTCTTGTTATTATAAAGGAAAGTATAAACATGTAGAAGTATAATTATTTAACGATTTCTACTTTCGAATTGGAATGTATCTATCTTAAAAAAAAAAATAATATTTTACTTGATTGTGATTTATTTAAAATTGTTAGCAACAACAATTTATAAAGCTGTAATGAAATAATAATCTTTTATCTTAAAATTATAATGATAGAATAATTGATATAATAATAATTACAAAGTATTAATTAAATAATTAATTATAATTAATAAATATTCATTTATTTAATTCAATATTATAATTTTTATAATTCAAATTTTTGTCTCTAATCTATAAGACTGAAATATAGCTTTATATTTTTTTTATTTTTTAAAAGATAAAAATCATAATTTATATAAAAATTCATAAAAACAATATATAATTTTAAATGAAATGATTTTATATTTTTAGTTATTTATATTGTATTAAATAAAAGATATTTCAAATTATTCGGAATGTCCAATCTATAAAATACAGATGATATTATGTTGAATTATATACTTTTTTCTAATTTTTTTCATTTCTTTTTTATTTATTTTTCTTCTTATTTATTTCTTTCTTTATTTCTTTATTCTTCATTATTTTAAATGATATACTTTATAATTTTCTGTTAATTTATAAATATATTTATTAA